AGAATACAAGAGGGGAAGAAGGAGAAGAAAAAGGTAGATACAGGAATCACTCCTAGAATTCCTAAGGCATCGCACCTAGGGTTAGGATTGCATCACACAAACCCGAAGAGGCTTCAAAGCTCACATATTTTTTTAAATTTTTTAAAATATCAGCTCTATTAAATTATAACCATTACATGGTTTTATATAAACTTTAGGGACTTCCTAAATCAACTAGAACCAAAAAAGGAAATTCTATAATATCTTAAACTTCCAAAACTAAATTAAGACAAAAAAAAAAAAGAAAAAAAAGAAACATAAAAAATTCTATAATATCTTAAACTTCCAAAACTAAATTAAGACCATGGACAAAAAAAAAAAAAAGAAACATAAATAAACCTAATTAAATAACTTGACCCACAAGACGACCCATGGGCAACCCCTACTGCCCATGTTAGCAAATATGAAAATTACCAAAATACCTTTGGCCTAAAAATCCTAGAAAATATAAACCAATCATAAAATAAGACTCTAATAATACTAGAAACATTATTATATAAGATTTCTATCAGGATTTCTTTGAAATCATGCCAATATCCAAATATCATCTCTTCTTTGAATTTAGCCTTCCTTGAGCTTATTATATTCCACATCATTCTCCCTTTGTTAGAAAAAACTTGACCTCGTGTTTTGCAGTATTGGAGTATAAGAATTCACAAGCTTTGAAATTGTATTGATGACTTCACATTAAAATCTTCAAGTTGTTGCCACCTTTTCTTCATTGGAGATCGCAACAAGAATAATGAGAGATTGATCTTTTCAATCTTGCCACTAAATTTTTCTCAAATGACAGAGTCAATTGGCATAGAAAACACATCCTTGAATTGATCCAAATCAGTTTTTGTAAAGTTTTCTTTGATATTCCCAACAACAACCTCAATCTCATGCTTTTTAACCTCTTTTCCCAATACACGGTCATCTTTTGATTCACTTTTGGATTCTTCACACATCATGATTGGAGCAAAAGTCATTGCAGACCTCGGATTGCAATGTCATGACCTCTAAAGGTATTATATGCTCTAGACCAACATTGCTCTTTTCGATTAATTGCTCTCAAGAGCATAAGGAATGACGATTTCTTTGATTTCACCCTTTGCCTTTTCAAGTTCAATACATGGAGCCTCAATTGGTGGCTTCTCATCCTTCGTAATCTGGCAATCATTCTCTTTAAGCTGATTTTGAACATATTCCTTTTCTTGCAACTTCAACTGTGTAGGGTTTTGATCCTTAAGAAGAACATTTGGCTTTGGCGCATCTTGCTGTGAATTTTCGGCATCTCTTTGTGGCACTTGAACCCTTTGTTTTGGAGCTTTGGTTGGCTGGTCTTGTTGGGCAGTTTTTGTATTCTGCATAAGCTTCAAAACAATAGATTTCTCATTAAATTTTACAAAAAATTCCAATTGTATAGCTATTTCAATAGTATCTTCGAGATCTTCTAAATATGGATGCTACATTTCTTTTTTAATCCCAAATCTTAATCCACTTTTGAAACAAGTAATAGTCATCCGTTCATTTTCGACAACTCCAAACTTGATAAATAATTCCTCATATTGTCTTGCATAATCAATCACATGCATATTACCTTGCTCAAGAGCCAAGGTTTTAAAAAGCGCCCGCAACCGCCACCTGTTACGGCCACTTTTGCAGAGATTGAGATTCACAGGTGTGTTGGCCGTAGCGGCTGCCATAGCGGTCGTAATAGTGCCGTAACGGCCTGTTACGCACCATTACGTAACGGTTCCGAACTCTTCTTTCGAAAAAACACACAAAAAAAAGTTGAAAATAGGGGAAGAGGGATAGAGAGAGAAGAGGGAAAATAAAGAGGGAAGATGGAGGAGCAAGAGATAGAGAGAGAGAAGACGGAAGATGAAGAACATGTAATTGATTTGTTGAAGTTGTAAGACGTATGTTATTCTATTCAGCTGCTATCACTCAACCATTTTGTTTGTGTGTCTATCTATATATTTTTTGAAAATAATAATAATAATAATAATAATAATAATAATAAGTGTGGTCATTATCTATTTGGCTTGATTACTTGGTTAAAATATGTATATATATATATATATATATATTTAGACTCTTATTTATTCTTTTCTTTTGTCATTATTTATTTTATATATAATAGTTAATGATTGATTTTTTTGTATAATATAAAATCATTAATTATTAAAATAAAATATAAAAAACTCAGTTTATAGTGATTTAAAAATATGAAATATATTGGATCATACTTAAAAATTTACAAAAATTGATCAATATTTATTTTAAAACCCAATAAATATGATCATGGAAAAAAAATATGTGTATCGGTAAGTTTTTTTCAAATTGTGTGAAAAATAAAAAAAATTCACGGTTCCGGTTACCGTAACCTGCAACGGCCGTTACACCTCACTACCGCAACCGTTATGCTACGGCTGTTACACCTCGCAACCGCAACCGCGCCACCGCCACCGTTACGGCGACCGCAACTGCTTTTCAGAACCTTGTCAAGAGCATACAATTGATCAAGAAAATCATCTTGAAGATCCCTTAAACGAATATTTTCTCTAAGAAGCGCTTTACCCTCTTCCCAAGTCAATTCACTTGTCTTGGATCTCCCACAATGTGAAAACATCATGGGGGCAGCAGCAAATCTGGATTTTAGGGGCTGATTTAATTGGATTATATGGCCAAAATTGCAATAAAATATAGGGGACAAGTAGGGTTTGTTTAGGGTAATAAATGGGTATGAGTTTAAGCATGAAAATATGGTATTTTGGCACCGTATAGGGGCTGTGAACAATGTTTGGGCTGTTAAAAAAGTGCAGAAAATACAAGAGGGAAAGAAGGAGAAGAATAAGGTAGATCTAGGAATCACATCTAGAATTCCTTAGGCATCACACTTAGGGTCAGGATTGCATCACACAAACCCAAAGAGGCTTCCAAGCTCTCAAAATTCTTTAAAATATCAACACTATTAAATTATAAGCATTCCATGGTTTTATATAAACTTTAGAGACTTCCTAAATTAGTTAGAACCAAAAAAGGAAACTATAATAATATCTTGGACTTCTAAAACTAATTTAAGACAAAAAAAAGAAAAAGAGAAACGTAAACAAAACCAAATTAAATAAATTGAAACAAAAAAGAAGAAGAAAGAAGAGAAGAAGATAGGTTTAGGCATTACACCTAGATTCCATAGGCATCACACCTAGAGTTTGATTGTGTCACACAATCCATAAAGATGCTTCAAAGCTATCAATGTTTTATAAAATATCAACTCCATTGAATTATAAACATTACATAACTTTATATAGACTTGAGACTTTCTAAACCAACTATAACAAAAAAAAATAAAGAAAATTACTAAAATATCTTTAACTTCTAAACCCAATTTAAATTAAATAAGAAGCATAAATAAAATCTAATTAAATAACTTGATCCACAAGATGACCCTTAGGCGACCTCTACAACCCATGACAACAATAATGAAAATTACCAAAATACCCTTGACCTAAAAATCCTACAAACATAAAAATAATCATAACATAAGATTCTAATAATAGTAGAAATATAATTATATAGGATTCCTATCAATTTCTCTTTGAAATCATGCCAATATCCAAATATCATCGCTTCTTTGAATTTAGCATTCCTTGACCTTATGCTCTGCATGCCTTCTTATTCGGATTACAAAGCTCCTCATCATAGTAGTTATATGCTTTCCATATCAGCATGCAAATTGTTATATACCGTTCCAACACAAGAAATGGTATCGCCAAATCTACGTTCTGTCTCGTCTAAAATTTTAGGTTATTCCGTGTGTTCCAGAAATTTTGGGTTATTTCACTTATTTTGGACGGGGTCATCCAGTATTAAAAACTTGATTTGAGATCGTTTAATTGAATTTAGGTACACCTATTAAAGCAAGCATCACATCATCTATCACTATTATATCAAAAGATTACTCTTTTTGTGCTTTTGCTAGTTGCATCTTGTATGCTAAACCAAATTGGGCAGACTTTACACCCTCTATCTCTCTTTTATACACATATTACCAGTAGGGGTATGTGCATTTAGGTGGTTTGAAAGTAAAATTAAAAACCAAATGGCGGATTGACAAATAACCAAATCGCGGTTTTGGGTGAATTGGCGGATTGAAGAATATTCTTAATCAATTATCAAGTGTTTGCATAATATATAACACTAATTTGCATAACATTTTTCATATATATTACACAAACTAATTTTACATAATATAACTGCTAATTTGTAACAAATTTTACAACTTAAATATCTCTCACACTTAACTTTTACTTTAATATTTCATTAGACGTTAAAAAATATATATGTATTAACTATAGCGGAACGGAGTGATTTTGGAAGTGGATTATAAATTTTAAAATTTAATTCGCGGTTAGCAGATAGAACGGTGCGGATCAGTGCGGTTTTAGTTGATTGGGTGGTATTTTGTGTAGCCGTAATTACCAATACTTTTCTCTCCATGCTATTGAAATAGTGTATATAGTTCCTTTTTCTTTTTTTTTTTTTTTTTTTTTATAATTTGTTCTCATATATGAAAGTAGTAATTAGTTGTATTGAAATGAGCATATCTGATATATTGTCTTGAATAAACAAATGCCAAAACGTACTAACAAGTTCTATGTGCATATTAACACATAATATTCCAATAATCATTTAAATATCTATATAAATTGTATTGTCTGTAATACTTCAAATTGTTAAGTACTAAAAATTGAAATATTTTTGTGAAAATGAATTATACATTATGTTGCTAATACTAGTAAAATTTTTGTTATGCATTATGTGTCAAGTGTACTATAATTGTATTTATGGTAAAGTTTACAATTAATTTTTTGCATTATTACTGTTTTGGACAGAATATAAATATTTTTAATAACTATGTAATATTTAGAGCAATAATTCTGAAACTTACGCTTAAGCACACCAGTACCGGTATGTACCATACCAATGGAAAATCGGTACATTGTTTGTATGGTATTAACAACATTGGTCCTCATGATGAAGCTGAATTGGCGAGATCATCTTCCATGCTTGCTGGTTATACATTTGATATATGGTGTGATTTGATAGGATTTTTCTACATTAACAAATGCTTCGATTAATATTATTTCTTCTAATGGAAAGCAACTTCTGAAGTATGATTACTTAGATTGCTATGCCCAATTATTGTATATAATGTGTATGTATATGTGAAGATATATTCAGACATCTCAAAAGAATTTTCAATTTAGACGGAGCATAGCCAGCCATTCATGATCTTCTTTTTTTTTCCCACCGAATTCTACCCTGATGGCTAAAAGATAAAAACACTGTTTCTTTTTGGAGATGATGTACATGCATACTGACGGAAGAATCCAACAGCCCCAGCCCCCCAAGTCTTGGAAGTCAAATGATGTTATAACTTCAGATTTTGACTAATGCATACTTTCAATTTCTAATTTTTGAGATCTTTATTTCTGTGATTTTCACCTAAATGATGTGTTTTCACTATTGTTCATCCACCATGTATATTTTATGATGAAGCACTTGTTATACTATGGCTATTGATTCCTTTCTCAATTAACAGTGCTCAGATCATTTTTGCCTTTTACAATTTGCAGTAGCATCTACACAAATTGCATTTGGTTATGGAGGTCAATCAAATTCCATAAAATCATATGGTTCTCTAAAGGGTGGGATTGGTGTTAACAATGATGGAGGTCCGGCTTCTGAGGATAAGTGACCCTTCTTCCTACCATATTTAGTTGCTTCCAGTGCATTTAATTGGCAAACATGTTTTTGCAGGTGGTGGTGCTTATTCCTCAGTCTTGGGAGACCAGAAAGAATACAAGGAACCATGGGTAGGTAAAACCACAGATCAATTCTAAATCCATGTTGGCTTGCCCGTCATCTCCCTTCCAAGTTCCAGTGCTTATTATTTTGTTTCTTTGAATGTTACTGCAGGATTATTACAGCTATTATCCCATAACTCTTCCTTTAAGGAGGCCTTATTCTGGAAATCCAGGTACGTCTTGAGGTACACTACATAGAAGTGAAAATATGGAATAATATTATACTATAATATTATACTAATACATGTGATAGAAAGGCTAATGGTATAAGTGGTAGCCATTGTCATGCATTTACCTTGTATTTTTTTTATTTGTGAGTGTGCATTTAACTTGCTTCTTTTACTTGTAGAACTTCTTAATGAAGAGGAATTCGGGGAAGCTTCAGAAAACGTAACTTATGATGAACATTCAATAAGGCCTGCAAATGATCTTGGTCTACAGGTTGGTACTTGCATTAGTAAAAGTAAAAAAATGACATTATCTGCTTGTATGGAAATCTTTTAAAATTTTGAGGAATGATTGGTAGGAGGAGAATCTGGAAGCAAGCATTTTCTTCCTACAGTTGCCAGCAAATATGCCTATGGTGAAGCAATCTGCCAATGCAGAGGGCCAGGAGATGGTCAACAACTCAGAGCCGCCCAAGAGTGCAGGTCCCTCAAAAAAGGGATGTAGTTTGGATGAGTTACCGGGAGGTTTTATGGGAAAAATGTTAGTATACAAGAGTGGTGCTGTCAAGCTGAAGCTTGGTGATATCATTTATGATGTGAGTAGGAATCCTATCATATTTTGTGTGTGCGCCCACTATGCAAAACAAAATTATTTTACTGGCTTTGATTGTTACTTTGATGAATCAAACTGGTATTATATGACAAATGCAAAACAATAGGAAAACCCCTGTTTTATGGCTACAAGAAGTTATAAACAATAAACATTGTAGACTGGAATGTGGATTGTTCCAGTATGTGGAGTGGGAACGTGGTACAACATATGCTTTAAAAGGTTGTATGATAGGGATAGACTTGTATAGATTACACTATAAGAATTTAAGGCACTTCCTAGTGTTATTTTTATTTTTATTTTTACAATTAGGTTTCCAATAAAATTTATTTATTTTTTTAATCTAAACTAATCGTGTAGAAACATATTTTCATGAGCATGATAACTCATTTGACTTTTTTCCTGTCAAAACTTCACTTACTTTAAATTTTAATTCATTATATTTGGTTTTTTCTTTCTCATGAGGAAACATTTAAGGAAATGTATTGGAAAAAACTTTGGAATCACTTCGAATCACTAAATTTATTGTTTTTGAATAATAGTGTACTATGTTTCAGAATGTGCTCTTGCGAAACGTGATTTGCTAGGGTATTAGCATTTTGTACTAACATTGGTTGTAGATATCTAGTTTGGAGCATAATATTTTATTCATGTCCTCGCAGAAAGAGTTTAAACTTACCAACTATTTGAATTACTGCTAAGAAGAGTATTGGAGTTGCGGATTTCCCATGAAAATTCTTATATTTTGAACTGGGTGCAGGTTTCTGCAGGTTCGGATAGTGAGTTTGCCCAGGATGTTGTTGCCATCAATACAGAAGAGAAGCATTGTTGCGTTGTTGGGGAACTCAGCCAACGTGCCGTGATAACCCCAGATGTGGACTCTATCTTAAACAGTATTTCTGATTTGTAGTAGTTTGGCTCACTTACCATAAAAATTTTGGTTCACACATGATGGAATCTGATAGATGTTATTTATTATTTATTTTTTGCAAACAAAGTGAGTAGCAACTTAGGATATAGATTCATTTAGAATTTTTTATCATAAATATTCAATGAGGAAAGTTGAGAAGTTGAAGAGAAATATATGAAAAATTCTTACAAGAAACAAATAAAAGAGAAGAATTTACCAATTTATTTGATAGATTTAGTTAATGTTGCTTGATTTATATTTATCTCTATACAGAATATGATGGTTGATTTCTCAGTTAGCGTCAAGTCTTGTGTCTCAATTAGTGTCACCTATTTCACTCAGCTTAGCTTGCGATTTGGCTCATAAGCTTTTTTTAATTTAAGAAATTCATTTGATCGAAACATGTCATAAATTAGTGATATTATTTCTCAATAATATTCAAACCACAAAACTTAAAACACTTAAATGACAGAGAATCACAAAGGTGAAAATTACTGACAACTTTTAATGAATGGAAAAATTTGGACTGTAAAATCATAATTGAATGTGAAAAGCTATAGGTCTCAAATTTTTTACCAAATAAACGTAGATCCTACACCCATGTGAGACATTTAGTCATTTATTTGGTAAATTTTTTTGTATCCCTAGCATCACCCTAATTGAATGCATTCAATTTGTTACTCATTTGAGTAGTATTGTTGGAAGGATTTAAATACTATATTATCAACAGTTTATAATACAAGCAAAACAGAGAACAGGACCAAAATAACATTCCAAGAGCTATTTGTTCCAAAAGATGTGAAAACACTCTTTTTATTGGATGTAAAAACACTCTTACAAACACAAAACCAGATATTCTGTTGTGATGCAAAGTCACATTATTTCGATACATAATTCAAACCTTCGACACTCAGACTAGCCTAATTGACTCCTCAAAGTTTGTGTAATGTAACCTGAGCTCCATGTTGTGGTTGAAGAGTCATAACAGTATTAGGAGCATGAGTGTAGGACACACAGAGTTCAAACGAGAAATGTTGTAAAATCATGGCCAAAGCTACCTTAGCTTCTATCATGGCAAAATTTTGGCCAATACAGGTCCTTGGGCCCCATCCAAAGGGAAAGAATGCTAGCTGGTCTTTAGATGCCCTTGAAACTCCTTCAGAGAACCTTTCAGGTTTGAACTCTTCTACATCACTGCCCCAGAGTTCAGGATCATGATGGATAAGTAATGTAGGTAGCGTAACATCAACACCGGCTGGAAGGGATATATCTCCTATCTTGGTTTCCTTGTATGTATGTTGATAATTAGCAATCACTGGTGGATATAACCTTAGGACTTCATAAAGTATCATAGTCATCTGCAGAAGAATTTTAGATTATGATCAGTTGATGAAATACTATTTTCAGAGACTAAATCGAAGTAGGAAATTAGGCCGTCTTAGATACCCTCTCTAGAAATGCCGTTACTACTTGATCACGGAAAATTTAGCTTATCAGCACAATGTCAGTATAGTATCAATGTGTCAGAAGAGCCTAGATCTAAAAGAATAAGTTTGACAAATGTAAAGATAGATTCCTTCTGGAAGTATTATTCCTCTTTATGTGTCCCTTTGGTGTCTTTCAGTGCTTTTATTGTGTACTAGAAAACAGAGGTACTCAAATTTTTGCAGTTGAGTAAAGGGAGAGTACTTACAATTTTGAGGTGGCTTATAGCTTCAAAATCAGGACTTTTTTGTCCACATATTTGTAGAACTTCTTTCCTTGCCTTCTCTTGCCAGTTCGGGTGCATGGCTAAGACAATCATGGTCCATGTCAACCAGGAAGATGTTGTTTCATGGCCGGCAAGGTAGAATACCTTGCATTCCTCTATCACCTCTTGAATTGTCATTCCATTAGCTTTTGTCCTACTTGCATTATTATCCGGTGAAGTTTCTTTGTCTTGGTGGTCATCATTAGATTGTAAGAGCAAGCCTAGTAAGTCATCACCCCTGGATTTCCCACTTCTCATTTCGTTTTCTTTCCTCTGGATCAAGGTTTTGAGCATTGATGTGATCCTTTTGTCCAAGTTCTTTCTCCTCTGATTCTTTTTCGTTGGAATAAATCTGTATAACATTCACGCCATTTAGAAATCTCATTCAATTCAACAAGTAAAAAAGGCCATTTCTTTTTAAATGAAATTACGATTGTGTTTTCTTCGTAGTACTAATAATGCACACCTGAAACCTGGAATGTATAAGGTTTGCATGGCTTCAACAACTAGCACTTGCAGCTCTTTTTGAAGTTGAAGAATCTTTTTTCCTCCTTCAAAGTTGTTCCCAAATGCTGTCCGAGAAATAATATCCCCTGCAAGGTCCTGAAATTCAGGCCATACATCTATTTCACAAGTTCCTTCAGGTCCACTTGATTTTCTCCATTGCTCTATCAGCTTCGCGCAACTGCTTGAGATACTTGGTATCATACCCTGCATACAGTTTACGATTAGGTCAAGTAACGGAGTCTAAGCAATTGTGATGAATTTAAGAGTAAAATTAGAAGAGATGTGAAGAAGGGAAGGAACCGACCTTCAATTTGTCTAGGTGGAAAGCGGGATTGATTATCCTGCGGTGTTTAGCCCACATTTCACCTTCTAGACTTGTGAGTCCTTTTGATAGAATGAGAATAAGAGGGTTTAGTGGTGGCTTTCCAAAGTGACCTAGCTTGTTAGATAGCACTTCTTTCATCAACTCTGGGTCCTTGATGATCACCTTTGGTGTTGTCCCACCCCAGCATAGACAAACTTTCCCTGTGTTCACCAACAAGAATTAAAACTTGAAATAAAAAACACCCTGTTTGTTTTTGTTTTTAAATAAATTCTGGAAAACTAATCAGAGAGTTAGAAATGCAAACATGCATGCTTATCATACCATATTTCTGGACAATATTATATGTAAAGGGGTCGGCACGTGGTGCAATCTGATGTGTGTTGAGACTAAGGGGTTTGGACCAAGCTTCTGTAATTTGCCTCACAAACTCTTTGATGTCCCCAACCAACAGTTTGTACGGAGTGCCTCTGATACCTTGCTGTTTTAATCGCTTCTCTAACAGTTTGGGTTTCAACCAAATGGAGTAAGAAATTCTCAGCACACCATACAACAACAAAAGCAGAGAAGAAGAGAGTATCAGAGAAAATAAGGTATAGTTTCCCATTTCCTCCTTACAATTTTGTTTGGTAAGAGTCAGTCTCAAACTCTTTTGAGTTTTTTGATGTTTGATAGATAAGCTTTAAACTTGCATATATATATTGTCACCTGATCCATACCATATGAGATATTTGATTTTATATGTTAGCAGTCAAAATTCTTTCATTAAAAAAGTTGCCTAATGTTTCCTTTTAATAATTATTTGTTTCTTGGACTAATGACGCATTTGCCTTGGAGGAAAAGATACATCGAAGATGGGTTTAAACTTTGAAAGTGAATCGAAAATATATGCCCTGGTAGGATCATAGGTCCATATATATTTATTCTATCTATTTTATTGTATAACTTATAAAGCATATATATTGAAATTGGTGGGAACGCTGTCAAGAATGTCCTTGCCACCCAGTAATTGTCACATCTTCCTAACATCCAATAATTGTTAGAATAATTTTACTTCATCAAATTGTCCAAAATTACTATTACTTTTTCTCAATTATCAAAATATTCAAAAAACGAAATATAAAATTGTAAACACATTCTCAAACTACTGTTATGCAACTACTCTTCATATTTTGATTTTAAATTTCAAATTTTGATACTTTTTTTTTTTCTTCTTTTTCTTTCTCTCTTTATAACTCATTGATTTTTATTGTGTACTCATTGAGTGTGCATGTAATCTAGTGTATATATATATATATGAGAGAGAGAGAGAGAGAGAGCTAGTTCTGGTTCATGCCACCAGAAATCGCCACTCAAGCTTTCTCTCTCTAAAGAAGTGAACAGTGTTTGGTTGTGGGTTTATATATTGTTTTTTTTTGTAATAGTTGAAGTTGATGAGGGGCATTTAAGTAATTTTCTCCCTTCCTTCCCAACTTGCCGCTTAAGTTGAATCTGTTAAGCACCCCCGCAACCACTTCAAGAAAAAATTGATTTTTCACTTACAAAAAGCTATAATCTGTATTATTAAGCTATACCAAACACAATGAAACAGTTTAAATTAAGCTAAAAAAATAAAATAAGCTGAAAAAAACTCTACCAAATAGGCACTAAATATATATATATATATAAGGAAATTTTATGATACACTTATGACCTTTGTAGTTATGACCTATTATGGTGTTGGTTGTGATTTGGTTGACTCATTGCAGAATTGATTATGACTCAGTCATAAACTATTGTACTTGTTGGTTATGCCCCAAGCACTCTTTGGTTATGACTTTTGATTATGACAAATTAGAGTGTTGGTTATGTTTCAGTAACGACCTATTATGGTTGTAATTTTGGTTATGTCTCAAATGTGTTCAGGTATAAATTATAATCTATTAAGCTATGATAGAAAGTGATTTAATTATAATACTTTATGATATCGAACATAATTTGGGAATATGATTAAAAGTTAAATTTTGACTTTTAATATATTTTGGGTTATATCAGCTCTTTACTTTTTTACACGTTATTTAAAAAAAAGTTAAAAAGTTAACTTGTAATTAATTTCTCAAAACAACCTAAAATATTATAAGTTATATATAATACACATCTTTTTAAGGAATGTGTATTATAACATTATCTGTATATATATATATATATGTGTGTGTGTGTGTGTATGATTTTCTCTAGTGATATGGTTGGTGGAGTGAGAAAATGTGTTTCTTTTGCGTGAGGGTCAAGTATTCAGCCCACCATAGCTTTTGACATTCGGCGGGTCAATTTTAGTAGCGAGCAAGAAAAATAAAGTTTATTTATAAATTTTAATTTTAATTTTATTTATGTTTGCATCGATACAGGGCCTCCCCAGGAGACAGGCCTGTTGTTTGGTGATAGGGTCAACAAATCTCGGGCTGGATTGGTCTAAGGTTAGGAAATGTTATGTTAGCTCGACTTCATGATTGAAAAATTATCTCAAATTTGGCTTTAAAATGGTATCACAATTCCAAGTTAGTCCAATAAATTCATATATTAATAAAAATTAATATTAGAAATTAAAAGTTATTAGTTTTATACTTGAGTTTGACACTAAATCTTAGTAGTAATATTTAGCCAATGCCTTTTGGTAGATTTTTAGTGTGTTTTCTATTTTAAGTGCATTTTTTTATTTAAAAAAATAAAGTAAATTATATATACACACGCGTATACTAGACATATACATAACATATAAATTATATAATATATATATATTAATAGCGTTGGACTAAGTTTTAACAGTATCTGAATCCAAACCTTCAAAATTGAGTGTGTCATAATTTTATTTTAAAAAGTAATAGAATAATCGATTTGACATCAATATAAAACATGTTAAATTTGACATGTTGAGTTCATGTCAAATGCCAACTCAGTATTTTACATATCAGATGAATTTTATTCTTTATGTGAAAATAGAGATTGGAGTCTTAGTAGTAATATTTAGCCAATGCCTTTTGGTAGATTTTTAGTGTGTTTTCTATTTTAAGTGCATTTTTTTATTTAAAAAAATAAAGTAAATTATATATACACACGCGTATACTAGACATATACATAACATATAAATTATATAATATATATATATTAATAGCGTTGGACTAAGTTTTAACAGTATCTGAATCCAAACCTTCAAAATTGAGTGTGTCATAATTTTATTTTAAAAAGTAATAGAATAATCGATTTGACATCAATATAAAATATGTTAAATTTGACATGTTGAGTTCATGTCAAATGCCAACTCAGTATTTTACATATCAGATGAATTTTATTCTTTATGTGAAAATAGAGATTGGATTATCATATTAGATTTGGCACATCAGGTTTTGTAATGGGCTTAAAAATCATATTAGCTTGATTTTATAGACTTAAAATATCGATACCAAACTTTGGAAAAAGAAAAAAAAAAGAAAAAAGAAAAAAAAAAGAAAAAAAGGTCAATTGGAATGGACGGGGCAATGCACCACTAGTGTACACCCCTAATTGGCGGGATATGGACGCATGAACCAATACAAACAAAAAAGAAAAAAAATTCATCTATAAATCTCATCCGAAAGAATAGTGATTCATTTAGTTTTAAATTTTTTTTATAGATCAATTAGTCTTATTGATTTTAGAAAGGTGGATTTAATATATTCTTTAGAAACTGGGTTCACGATTATACTTTTTTTTTATTATTATTTTTTTCTTTTTTTACTACAAAAGGTAAGATACACAATTATAAGAATTAAGTTTGGAATAAATTTTTATATAAGAATTTTTTTTTATTTGAAATGACTTGAAACGTGAGATATTTCAAATATTCCAAAAGGAGTACAAAAATAACTTGAAATATGAAGTTTTTCAAACATACCAAAAGGATGTGAGATTTTTCAAACATTTGAAAAGGAGAACAAAAATTCCTTAATAAGCTTTGGGAAAATGTATAATTTCAAACTTTATCAGTCCAATGTAACACTTAAACGTAATACTTTAATGTAACACACTAAAAAAACTCTTTAGTGTTCTTTTTCCAAACGTAACATTCCAAAAAAAATTCTTAGTATATGTGGGATTCTTCAAACCATTCAAGGAGTATAAAAATTCCTTGGTAAGTTTTGGACAAATATATAATTTCAAATTGTGAGTGTTACATTTGAGGCCTGCCTAGGCCCAACCCAAGCCCGAGTCGAGACGTAGCCCACCCAAGGCTTGAATACCCCCCTACTTAATTTTCTAGCCTGTGGGCTGACCCAACCTGAATTTTAGTGAGAGCCCGTGCGACCTGACATGGGTCGGTCCAAGCCCGGGCCTTGGTAGGCTGGGCCGAGTCAGGCCAAATTTACACTCCTAGTAATTATATGCGTTTAATTACAACACTTAGAGTTGAAATAAAAGATAGTCTAGATTATATTTATGAATTAGAAAGTGAGTTAAATAGATTAAATTCTCTTTTGGTTATTGTCTTGGGAATAATCTATATAATAAACTATAGCCAAAGAATTGCCAGTATTAAAAATAAAATATCCTTAGAAAATATCAGTGTAGAATATCAATGAAAGATTTTACAAGAGTTAATATTAAATTAGATCCGCATCCGCAAATTCGCAATTGAAATTGGTATCAAAGCTTGGTTTCTTGGCCTTGCCAGCAAGGCTTGCATGAGTATTTGTGTTGTTCAAATTTTGAAATTAAATAAATAGATTTATGAAGAAATCAAATTATATATATACTAAGAACACATACTAATAATTACAACTAAATTTCAACAGAAATACACAAAACAATAAAAGGGTAAAGAGACGAAACCGAAGCCTGCACGGAAGCAGTTTCCTTAAAACAGATTTCGCCGCCTCACTGGTCGAGTGCTTGAGGAATCCCAGCGTCTGTCTCCTAGGATACGACGGTCAAAACCAGCTACGGCAGAAGCACTCTCTGTCTAGCTTAGCGAACAAAACAGTGGCAGCACTCTCTCACTGTAAGAACTTTAAGGCAAACTGACTTATGAAATGGAAGTAAAAATTTCTATGTTTGAGACTTGACAGGAGGGTCTCAATTTATACATGTATAGGGATTTCTGTGTTTGAGACTTGACAGGGGTCTCAATTTATACATGTATAGGGGAGAGAGAAAGAGCCTCCAGCCTTTATGGCTGTTCATAATGCATCATTAACCTCTGCAATAAAGGCAGGAGTTACAAACCCCATTAATGCAGGAGTTAATTCCTTAAAAGTAAAAAGTAAAAAAAAAATAAAAAAAAAAAAAAAAACGAATTGAAAAACATCATTATTACATTGATTCAACCTCAAGGATTCATTTTCTTACAATATTTGAACAGGGAAGAAGCAATTATTGATCTTAAAGGTAAGCATAATGGTCCTGTTTGGTAGAGCTGTGGGAAAGTGCTTATAGCTTATGCTTAAACAACTTATAGCTTATAACTATGAACATAAGCTGATTTCTGACTTATAAATTAAGCATCTCCTACCCCACTCAAAGAATAAGCTGATTTCTGACTTCCAAAAAGCTATAAGCTATAAGTTATAAGCAACACATCAAAATAGCTTAAATTAAGCAGTGATAACGAGCCTCGCCTTATACTTGTCAATAGACCCATCGGCCTTCATCTTTCTTTTAAAAATCCATTTGC